GGCTTGGTACAAATGATGGTCATGTGAAGATGAATGTTTCTGTAGATATTGTGCATTGTAATTCCTTAGGCAGGTTCAAGGAACAAAGCCTATTCTAATAATTAGCTCATTTGATCTTTAGAATAGCCCCATAAAACTGGCTATCTTTCATAGAAGGGAAAGCAAAGGCTGAGATTTGTGAAGTTGCTTCTTCAAGATTAACAGCAAATAAAATTTGGACGAAATTTTGGGTTTGGTTTTTCTGATTCTTTGTCCACAGCTACAAGGTGTGCATCCATTAGACTGCAAGATACTGGAGGGCAGGCACAAGTCACAGAAAATTGATGTATAACCAGAGATGCATATGAAATCTCAGAATAGACATATTTATACTCAAGACACTCCAAATACACTCTTGGAACAAAAGTTTCCATTTGGACAGGCAAGGAAAGTTTGGCAAAAAGTTCAAGCTGGACCAGAGAGAGCTGGGCAGAGGAACGGGGGAGGAGATAGGGTCTGGCTAGAACCTTGGATGGCACCAACTTTGAATACAGCTCCCTAAAATTTCCTAGTTCTCATCTGAAAATTGAAATGTGATGGACAGGTTAGTGTAGGATCCAGACAAGTTCAGGAGTGTGGAACTTGTGAAAAGTCCCATGTAGCTTGCCTTTGGTGTTTCCCTATGCATAGATGCCTGGCCATGCTTTAAGCTTTAAGGGGCCACGTTCAGACTCCAGAAAGTATGTCCGAAGGCATAAACCTGAACTGTATGAAACTGGTGTGCACATACATATAATTCAACACTCCACAAACCTTAAATTCTAGAACTTCTGATAAGTAAGTGGCTAATAAACATCTTTAACTATTGAGACATACTGGTTAAGGCAATAAGACTTGATCTTTTCATTTTAATTTGCATGAAAGGCACACAGTGCTCCACGGTATTAAGTTAAGAAAACGTAGAATTGGTCATGCAACCTCTTGCTTACTGACTTTAGAGGAGAGGGGAGAATGGCAGAGATGAAGATGATCAGGACTGCTGTGCTGAGTCAGTATTAAAGGTCTTTCTCCAGGTCAGGACTTAACATGGTGCTCATGACAAGGAGGTACGTTTTACTTCATAATGACATGGGGTACCCATTACAGAACAATCAGAGCTCTAGATATGATCAATAGATCCAGAAGAAAAAGATGGAGCCACTATCTAGTGACAGCAGAAAGATGGATATTTTGTATCTGGTGTGGCTAAAAGCACACTGGTAGTTAACCCTGTCACCGAGGGCTCCAGGATACTTCTTATAATGCTCGTATCATCCTGTGTATGTCCATGGAATCCTGATTCCATACGGCTCCACATTCAATAAAGCCCAGTTCAAACAGCCAAAGGTAGTGCAAAAAGAATTCTAAACTTTAATTTTCTTCTCTTTAAACTATAAGAGAATTCCATTTAAATCACCCACCAACATCTCTTATCCCTTTCTCCTTTTCATTCCTCAAGATCTCCCTCCCCTAGTTGCAAAACAAAACCAAGCAACCACAACAAAACACCTCTCGGGTTTTGTTGATACTCTTCTCTCTATTCCCTCCTCTCTCTATTTTGTTTTCAGTTGCTACATGTAAATTAATTTAGGTTTTTTTTTTTTTCATTAAAACCTTCCCGTCGTCCTTGGATCTCAAGCCCATTCTCTGCCCGTCTTCTAGTTCTGTGTCACAAAAGAACCCCTAACAGGATGAGAAGGACTGTCTTCAGAGAATGGCAAGGAAGTTTTAAGGTCAATGATCACAAACCCTTCAGAGGGAAAAACTGGGGACATCTTATGTGTGCTGGAAACATCTGTGGCTATAGCTTTAGGGAGAGTTTGAGTCAGTTGAATCTATTAGGAACAGGAAAAAAAAAAAAAAAACCCAGAAAGCAACCATGTCCATGCCTAGGGAAGGCAGGGAAAAGACCCAGGCAAGCTTAAGCTAGTGGAGAGGGTGTAGCAGGTATTAGCCTCTGGGAATTTCTGAGTCCAAGTACTGTAGGTGATCACAGGACACTGAGAAGATGTTAACACCAGGATCCTGAGCTATGTGATGAGCCTGTTATTTGGAAGTTTCTGTGACTTGAATACATCTTCCTTTCAGGTAGATGTAGACAGTATTCTGGCCAACAGTAAGTTGGTAACAGACTCAATTGGTCAGTGCAGTATATACTATTAGATATATAAATATTATATATATGCACATATATATATATGCAGCTGGGGCAGCTGGGGACAGAAGAGGTGCAAAGAATTTCACTGTCCTTTGGGGCATCTCTAGACACAGGAAGACATTGTAGGTTAATGGAAAGAGTGCAGGCCTAGGTGCAATTTCTATTTTTCTTTCCATTTGTAAATTGTTCCAATCAACAAGGCCAACAGAATGTCTTATTTTCTTCAAAAGATACTGTATATGTAAACACTGATTAGCACTCCCCAACATGCAATGCCCAGGTTTTGCCTCTTGGGGAGAAATGGTGATCATGTTATACCTGGTCTGATGGACAGTTTTGATAGACATGAAAGATGATGAAAATACTCAGAGGAGGTTAAAACTACCACAAAGGACTCACTTTATAGTTGCTCTCACCCTGGAAACATAAAGCCTTTTCCTCCCTCCCAAAAAAGTCACACATTTCAGAAATAGCTGTGAGAAGGAAGTGAAATTTCTTCACAATCTCACAGATGATGGTGACGTGGGTTAGGCCAGGCTTTAGAAAGAGCAAAATTGGAAAAGCCTATCTGATTTACAAATCGGTAGCAAAGAATAGGAAAATTTCAAGTCTATCAAAGAGGTATTCAGTTCCATTAATTTGGGTAGACAATCCCAAACTCACCTCTGCCTCGAATACACCTGTCACTCTAAGAAATATGTCAATGATCTTACATGTACAATGTGCTTACTGCCCCCAGAGAAGTCAAAAGTCATATTCTACCCCTCGTAATAGCAGCAGACTACTCACTCGGACATATAATGTGACCGTGTGTTATCAGTGATGATGGTGATATGACAATGCAGTGTTGTCCTTAACCCTTTGAGGGCTCTTCACCCCCAATATTAACATAGTACCTCCTTTTCTTAACCCTAGTTTCTCCAACCAGAAAATCAGTAGCTGGATGAGAACCTTAGCTCTTAAGCTATTCTGCTGGGAGCTTGAGGCAAGATATAAAATTGTCAAGAAAAGATGTCCTCACAGTATGATGTCCTGGCCAGAAGAAGGTATGACTGATCCAAAGCAGAACCATGAGAAAGAGACAGAGGGACACCTTGGTGCTTGCACAGCCAAGAGGGGGTTGACTGCAAGTGTAGTGAGGACCCTTGTATTTCTAAATCACTGGTGGCTGGAAATGGGGATATTGCTTTAAAAAAAAAAACCTCTGCATTTTATATACGTGTGGTTCCTAAGGCAGAAGCTAGAATTACTTGTTGTGAGTATTCTGTCCCTTTATTCTGGTGGGAAACACATTTGATGAGCATTTTTCATCCTACAGATGGAAGTGAGTTCCCAGCCCTTGTTCTTGGGTCTGATGGACAGTTTTGATAGATGTGAGAGATGAGGAAGATACTCAGAGGAGGTTAAAATGAACACAAACGACTCACTTTATAGTTACTCCCATTAAAAGCACACCCAGAGCCTCAGGCTGAGGTGTTGGTGTGGTTAATAATGTAGAAGGCTCTTTTGCTGGGGAGCAGGGCACAATATACCATATAGTATTGTAATGTGGATAAATGCATTGTTTGCAGCACTTTGGGAGGCCGAGGCAGGTGGATCACGAGGTCAAGAGATCGAGACCATCCTGGTCAACATGGTGAAACCCCGCCTCTACTAAAAATACAAAAAACTAGCTGGGCATGGTGGTGCGTGCCTGTAGTCCCAGCTACTCAGGAGGCTGAGGCAGGAGAATTGCCTGAACCCAAGAGGCAGAAGTTGTGGTGAGCCGAGATCGCGCCATTGCACTCCAGCCTGGGTAACAAGAGCGAAACTCCGTCTCAAAAAAAAAAAAAAAAAAAACCATTGTTTGCTATGACAGACTGAGGAGTGGAAAGGTAGAGACCAAAGTTGGGGTGCTGGCATTGAAACTGAGAAGACACGGAGGTAGGAAGTAGGTGTGTTAACACGGTAGCAGGCAGGGGCTAAGGGAGTGGACCCTTAAGTCTCCCTGTTAAGAGGAATAACCAGTACATCCTGTGGACAGTGGTAGCTGATGTTCATCCTTGGTATTTTCTTTCCCTCTCTGTAATTTCATTGTGTTATTCTCAAGCCTTGTGAATACCTCTTAAACAGAAGACACTAGTGTAGTAAATCTTGGAAATAAGAGAGGAATCTGCATGTATGCTTTCATGATAAATGCAACTGCAGAACACACACAGTATGAGAAACTGTTAGCTGGTTTTCTCCAGGGAGACATGTTGTTGAGAGGTGACAAGCAGCAGCAACCCACCTGGGAAGGTTCTGTGGGACAGGGCATAGTATAGAACCTGTAACAGGACTTTTATTGGGAACTCTCACACCATTGCGGGCTTTATCTCTCAAGCAGAGGGCAGCTTGGGATGCTATTATTTGACCAATGGAAATCAGGGCAAATGGAGGTGAGAATGGTAAAACATGACTTTCTGCAACTGTATTTCTGGGCTCACCTATGTTCCTGGGGCTCCTAAGCTGTCTTGATGACATGATTGATTACAACACAGCCGTTAACTCCTACAAGTCTCATTTCGTGATACATGGAATCCCACAGTACATAGAGGTGGCCCAGCCATGGGGATCACAGGCCCTGAAGAAGCTGGCCACCTCAGGATCACCTGCTTAGCAGGCAGCATGCACCCTTCCAACAGCAACACAATGAATCATAGCCGGCCCAAGTATTTCAGGACCTCAATAGTTATATCAGAAGATCCCTGCTGGATAATGATAAACCGAGCAAAAACCTGGCCACACAGCTGTGCTGGGGTCACCTCGGGTCAGCAGAGTCTTCCGGGTAGTGGCAGAGACTCACCTCCTTTTGATGGTAAGCATCACACCCAGGAGAATGATGATGAACATGAGGAGGCCAGCAATCACGCCAGCCATCTTCACGGTGTTGTCCACCTGCTTCTCTGGCTCCACAGTGTTAGAATTCTGGGTGGAGGCACCTAGGAGAGGAAAGGGATAGACAACAGCGTTGAAAGGGCCCACACATGTCACTAGAAAACAATCATAGTGATAAGAGCTTCCTTTAGTTTAGTGCTAACTATGTGCCAGGCACTATGCTAAGGGCATCCTAGACATTGTCCCATTTAACACCTTTTGAGGATCAAGTTCTTGTCAGGTTGTGATTATCATGAGATTCTTTTGAGATGAAGAAACGGACATGCAGAGAATTAAGGGAGCTGCCCAAGGTCCTCACTTAGGCAATGTGTGGGAGCATCCTTTTCCTTAAGGTGAATCAAGTTAAGAATGTTTTCTCTCATCTGGCTTTGTCCCTCGGATCAAACCATGGAACAGTTCCTGGGCTTCTGGAATTATATCTAGCCCTACTTTATTCTTTCAGGTAAATGGTGAAAATAACAGCTTGATGTTGGGACAATACAATTTAAATCACTGGATTTTTAAAGATAAAAAGAGTTTTTTGTTTGTTCTTTATAGAAAATAAATGGTAGGGTAAAAAGTTGGTGTATTCAAGGGACTTAAATACACTTTGGGTTCAAAAAAGCACTTACATCTGATCAACTCCATTTTTAGCATTTAGTACTAATGCAGCATGCTCTACCAGGTGTTAACTTACTGACACAATCCTCAGGAGAGGAAGCAGGAAACTGGCCACTTACTATATCCTCAGCCCTGGGCTGGGTAATTTCACTGATCTAGCCTTGTCAATCCTCACAAACACTCCCAAAGACAGATACTGGTTTTCCCATTTTATAGATGAGAAAACCAAGGGAAGTTGCTAAAAGTCACATGGATGATGAAGGTCAGGGCCAGAATTCCACAGGTTTTCTGATTCCAATTTTAGACCTCAATGGTCAGAAACCTGAATTCAACTCTTAAGTTGCTTAGTTCCTCAATCCCTTCTCCCTATAACAACCATTCTGCTTATGTCATAGGAAAGTAAGCAGGCAAAGAATGCCCCAAATCAGTATTTTCATGCTATGTACTAGGGAGATAGGCAACTTGTTATTTCAGACATTCTAGAGTGTTCCAGGGGTTACCAGCACCTTAAATTTATTTCCTCCTGCTTCTGTTCATATTCCCATTGGAGCCAAACATTAAGGTGCAAGCCTTTAAGTGTGATGGAGCTTAATATCCAAACCATCCTTTTCCTAACCCTTTCCTTTTTTTCTTCCACATCCACATCAGCTCATTCTTCATCAGCCAATACACTTTCTCTGAGCCTGTGCCCCTGGGAGAGTTTCTCCCTCTTCTCTAAATTCTATTAACACTTTATAACACTTTGCACATGCCTCACAATATCTCTTACTACAATGCACCAATATTATTAGTTATTTGTTTTCACATCTGTCTCCTTCAGTGGTCTGCAAACTCCTCAGAGGCAAGATTATGTCTCGTTTGTCTTAGTTTTCCCATGTTAGCACAGACTGACTGGTAATAGGGGCTCCCTAAATGTTTGTGGTTTTTTAGTGTTTAGCTAAAGGGATAACGTCTCTGCCCACACACATTTGTTCTCATGGAAGCAAATTGAGTTTTCTCTTTTTTAAAGTCATGTGTTCATAGAACTTGGCTGAGTTTTGAGTTTAAGGAACGCTGCTCCCTAAAAGCTATGGTCCTGATTTCCCAAATGTATTGATGTTTAAGCCCTCCAGCACACTGATACACCCCTTTCTTTTTGCTTAAGAGCATTAAATGTTTCTTCTCTCAGTACACTTTTCCCAAGCTGTTGTAACTTAGACATGGTGGGTTTGCTTAGCCAAGTCTTTCTAGTGAGAATGCTAAGTTACCCTACTCATCTCTCTAATGCTAGTGTCTAGCACAGGCCTCCCTCCTCCTCACTGCTGCTTAACAATGATTATAACATAATATGAGGGTGAGTGAACCACAGCTGTGTGCTTTATTTATCCATTCAATCATTCATTACCTTGCCATTGAGTGCCCATGTGCTGTGTGCTAAACTATGCTGTCTGTAGAGTCAGAGACTCTGTTCCTAGAAGGACTTATGGCTGAGGAATTTTATTCATTCCTTTCACAAGCTAATGGCAAAACCAACTCAACAAATTCCAGGTCTGCCTGAGCAGACTTTGCTCATCTACAGCCTAGGATTCCTGAAAGAGTTGACCACCACCTCTTTAGCAGGGCTGGTCTGATGTTTCGGGGAGCAGGGTGGGGGGCTGGTTCTGAGTAGCTCCCATGCAGCCCCCATTTACCAGGCGAGACATGATTTCTGAGATGTGGCTAATCCACAATGTAGCAAGCATAAAGGAAGGGGAAAATCTCAGATCCCAATGTCCTCAATATTGATAGAGTCTTCTTATTTAGATTTGGAGGAAGGGTTGTCTCTGGAGCATTCACTCATTGGCACAGTCTCACTTTACTTAGTGCCCGCTACCAGGTCCTGTTCTAGAGACGAGGAGTGCAAAGGCAAAGACCCCCTAGAGAAGATCCTATTACTCTAGGAACAATACTATGAGCTTGGTCTAATGAGACTCATACTTCATTCCTTCAGTAAGTGATCATATGCCAGGCATTTGGTGATACAGTGGTGAGCAAAATAGGCACGGTTCCTGCTCTCAGAGTCTACAATTAGTGGTGACTTGGGGTAGGGGAATACAATGAATAAATCAAGAATCAGTAACAGCAAACTTGAACCCTGTTAAGGTTTGAACGGAGAAGCACATAACACTTGTAAATAGATATTGCATAATAAAAAAAAGTAAATTGCTTCTTGGAGGAAGCAGCTAATAGGGTTGAGTCCAAAGGAAGACAGGCTATAACCAGGTAAAGGAATCATGAAAGCAGTATATGGGAGCAGCAGAAGAAATAGTCTTGGCTAAGGCTGTGCAAGTAGAGTCTGTAGAGTTGTAACTTAGACATGTTGGGTTTGCCTGCCCCTCCAAATGGGGCAAGCACTCTGTTGTACTAAAAACGAAAGAAATTTAGTATAACCAGGGCAAGAAAGCAAGGAGGCAAGGATGAGAAAGAAGCTGGAGAGGGCATCGTGAATCAGTTCACACAGGATATTACTGACCACAATGAGGGCTTTTGTTCTTTAATCCAAAGAATACAGGACATCATTTAAGTGTTATTGAAGGAGCAATGATGGTCAGATTTGTATTTCCAACAGATAATTCCAGCTTTTGTGTGGAATCAAAGTGGATTGGTGAAATGAGTTTTGAGACCACTGCAAGCATTCAGATGGGAGATGACAGTTGCTCAGGCTCAGGTGATGACAGCGAAGATAGAAAGATGTGATAAAAGAGATAATTGCTTGAAATAGCTATAGATAAAAGCTGTTGATGGATTGGATATGGGGAATAAAGGAGAAAGAACTGTCAAGGCTGACCACAAATCTTTGGCTTGCATGATAGTGTGGATGATGGTAATGTTTATGGGTCACAGACACAATGGAAAAAGAAGAGCTTTAGGGGGAAAATATATCTGGGGCAACTTGAGCTTGAGATATACTCCAGAAAAGTATGTAGTCAAATATGCAATCTGGAGCTTTAAATTAAAGGTCAGAGCTGGAGGCAAAAATGTGTGAGTCATATGCACACAGATGGTATTTGAAGCATGGGGGCCTGTTGATGAAATCACCCTGGGAAAGAATAAAGAGTGGAAGGAGAAACAGAACTAGAATAGAGACTTGAGGGTCTGCAGTATCTAGTGAGTAGAGGGAGACAGGTAAGCCTGCATGGGAAACAGGAGTGACCAGACCACTAGGAGGTAAACCTGGGAGAGTGTAGCATCCTAGAGCCAAGAGAAGAGAGTTTCAAAAAGGAAGGCATGATCAACTGTGCCAAAGGCTGTTCCTGGGTAGAATCAAGTCCACACACAATGGAAAGTGAACATCTTGGGTGAGCGTTAGAAAACTTTTCCCAAAAGAATTCTAAGATGTTCCTAAATAGAAGCACCTTCAGCAATCACCATAAACCTACAATAGAACATACTTGAGGGCCACAGAAGAACATTCAGGGGATTCCGGGAGGCTGTCTGAAAGGGCAGAGCCCAGAGGTTTAGACAAATTCAATGAGTTCAGCCAACAGGCAGCAAAGCTGATATCACAGACTTTACGCAGTGAGGTTTTTAGAAAAATCCATGCTTGGCTGGTCCAACCAGACATCAGATACAGGAATATGCACATGCCCTGGGACAGGGCAAATCCAGCTTTGCCTTTGCCACTCTTTAGGGGAACTTGCCCTACTCTCTGGAGATTTGTGCTTCTGTTCATAGTGGAAGTGTGTTGACAGGGTTCAAAGGTGATACAGGGAGAAAGGAAATGGACTAAAGGCAAGAGAGCATCCACATGTGGCTTCTATATCTGAGGGATGGACAGAGAATGGGAGAGTCTTGCTTTTGTGGCAGAGGCAGGTGTGTCCACAGGGATTATATCTTAAAGGCTCAGTGGAGCAGAATGTGACCTGTGATGGGAGTCATTAGAAAGCCCATCATGTTTGGCTACTGATGGGACTCCTGGCAATGTGGTGGGCTTCCCACAGATGCCAGCAGTAGGTCCAGATAGAAGGCTATCTGTCTGACTCAGCAGCCAAAATCAAAAGGGGCTTTTTAGAGGACTATCCCACTGGAATCCCTTCAGTGGGATAACACCTATGTTACCTTTACCCCAAGCCCACCCTTTTCATGAAAGTCAGGCTTAGTATCAGCCTTAGTCCCTAAAAGGTTATCTCTGACTCCGGGTGGCTTCTGTTTATTAAGCAGGGACTGGGAATTTGAGAACCGAGAGAAGGAGGAGGGATTTGGATGCATCTCCCTCATCTTTACCCTCCAGACCCAACTGACAATAGGCCAAGCAAATCAGAATTGGCAATAAGGGAGGCACCAGATGATAAATTTCTCCAACTGGATAAGCTTTAGGGCTCTACTTGAGTCCCCTGTGTTGTGATCATCAAAAATAATCTTATGAATTCAGTTTGCAATGACAGGAAACTCCTATTTCCAATATCAGGCTGCAAGTCTGACCTTA